TCTGTCGGTGATAAAAATTGAATAGAAAAAAATCTTGGCTCTATGGAGTTTCTGGTCTAAATGCATGAAGACATAACTCTCAGTTTAACCCATCTCATTTGAAAGATGCATTTGTAAAACACAACACTTGTCGTTTAGGACAAAGGATGCAAAGGGAACAGGAAATCTAAATATCTCCAGAAGGAACATTTTTTCTTGTTAGACTATGTACATAGTGTACGGCTAAAAGCCTTTAAAATGATAGTGCTGAGGAATGGAGCCTGCATAGGTGTGATAAGTTGTGTACTTTATATTTTACTGTACAATTGCAGTGATTTGTGGGACATGATTTGATCCATGGTGTTTCCAAATCCATCTCATAATGAGTTGAACTTAGCATGGCTTCTGCTCTGTAAGCGTGTCAAAGCTTAGATGGCGTGGGAACATTATGTTTAATTTAGTAAGATATATATAGAGAGGAAAAACTAGGGGTATATCTCTGCAAGAGATTGACAATCAGAATTAGGGGAGAGAACTTGCCTTTCTTCTATTTTGAGAAAAGGTAGAATTAATTCCAGCAGAAAGAGCAGCAATTGAATGGGGGAGGTGGGGCTGATAAAGTGGGGAGAGGATGAGGAAAAGTAGCTATGTGAGGTGGATGTAAAGTAATGAGATAACTTTTAAGCACACATCAAGCTGATATTTGAATTGGTGTTGTCCTTCAAAATTACCTTGAGAGCATTTATCTGTATTCGGAAGACATTGCCACTGCTCAAAACATCTTAGGCATTGCTCTTGGAGATTTTTCTTGTTACTCGTTATAGTATGGTTGTACATTTAACATAATTCTGTAATGATGACAGACTATTACATTCCTTTCATCACTCTACATGTTTGTAAGTGGACAGAAGAAATATCATTCCATGGATCAATGCCTCCCTCTCACCAGGCTTTATGTACCTATGACGTATTCACCGAGCCTTCCTGAGGACTACTGTGTGGCGGGGGCAATCTGACTAGAGCTCTTTTCTCTCAAGTGCACAGCTCTAGTTCTCTCTATCACAAGGACCAGGGCACCCAATTAGGATCAAAGTCTTTCTTATGAAGTGATTCCAACAGGAATGTGACCAGAGACAAAGAAAGCACAGGTACCAGGCAAGTCCCTAAAGATAATTCCTTGTTACAGAGTAACAAATGCTGTTTTGGTTCATCTGATGGGGCACAGGTGTTGCTCTGATATACAGAACACTTTGCAGTAGTATTTATTATAAAGTGATCATATCTGTTTTGTTGGACACAGGTTGAAGAGAGGAGGAATGTTAGATAGATTCCATCAAGTGAAATTCTCAGTTTATTCAACTGGAATTTGAAAGTATATGCAATTTCCCTCAATACATCATTCTGTCAATGCATATTTATTGGGCATACTATGTGTTAAGTATGGTACTAAATATTCAGGAAGCAGTGATTTATAAGACACACATAATCCCTGCTTTGTTGATTTGTATATTCAGATATAAAAAAGATAGTAAAGAGTGATAAATTATTATAGGGATGTTTCAAGAGCCATGAGAATATATTGTGGGTACATATAGAGTATAGGTGTCTGGGGATAATTTTTTTTAAGTGAAGGAAGAGTAGTATTTAGAGAGATGGACGGTAAAGGAAGAACATTAAGTTCTTCCTTTAACTTTAACATGGCAACTGCAAAAGCCTAGAAGAAAAAATGTAGCATGGTACAACTGAATGGAAGGAAGGGGAGATTGAGAGAGAAAGAATGGTTTAAGAAGCAGCTGGTGAAATTAGCGCTGGACAGATCACACATGGGCTTAAATAAAGGTCTTATTAGGGAGTTTGAAAGGCATCCCAAAAGCCACAGGAAGCCACAGAAGGATTTCCAAAATAGGAAAATGGTCAGATTTATATATCATGTAACAGCCAGGGCCAATACCAGTGACTAGAGCCCAGAATCTCTTAAGTGCTAACTTCTAAGCCCTAATGAAGTTGCTTTAAAAATTTTGTAATGTGTGAAGGTTGAGGAACCTGGGAGCAGAGGTGATTTGGGACAGCATAGGGAATAAAATTTCTGCTGCTTTCAAGGTTCAGGGTTGGGGAGCTGTCCACAAGGCAGGTGCTGAATAGCTGAAGCCAGGAGCTGCCTAAGGAAGCTTCATGGGATGTGGGGCGGGTGGCGCCAGGTGTTAACGCCTACCTCAGAGGTGGAAGGAAGAGAGCTGGTTTTTCTTTGTCTTTTATCCATTCTATTTCTCTATTTTCCTTGCTTATTTCTTCCTCTACCTTCTCCTTTCTCCCATTTTCATCTTCTAGCAATCTGGGCAGCTATAGCTGACTCTCCCTGAAGGAAGAGGGAGGAGTACACTTGCTCTTCCATCAGTGACTTCTCCTTATAAGGAGTCAATAGAGCATTGCGAAAACAAATTCCTAAGAAGTCCACCTTTATCTAAGGGTTGGATGACTGGTTATATTGCTAAAGAGGTCATCCTAGACCCTTCTGAGGCATTAGGTGGGGAGATACTGTCATTATTATATTACGATTATTAGTAGTTGAGCATTTAGTGTGGATCAGGCAGTTAACCAAGCACTTTACTTCTCCAAACCTAAGAGGAGACTGTGTTGTCTGTTTTATAGAACATGACTTGACTTGGAATATCAGTGGTTGTGATTTGTGCTATTTGCTTAATAAATTATTATGGAGACCAAATAACTGAAAGATGAGGATGGAAGATGCAGAAAATAAAATCTATTAATACTTACTCTGGGTAGACTCTTTCAATAGTCATTATATTTAGTCTCATAACAATCTTGTGAAATTATACTATTATTGTCCTCATTTTACTGATGAGGACACTGAGGCTTAGAGAGCTTAATTGGCTGAGGTCACACAACTAGTAAGTGACCATGTCAGTTTTGAAACTTGGCACTATTTGATTCCAAAGCCTCTGCACTTTCATCCAGAGTGCTTCTTTAGATTTTTTGGGCCAGTCACATCTACAGTCTAGTTTGATTTTAGCAAATGAAAACTGCTGCACCTCATTTTCCTTCAGTACCATTTGCCTCTGGGTCTTGATGCTTCCTGTATCATCTGTACCTCTGGGAGGGCAGCTTCCAACCTCAGAGCATGTCAGTGGTACGCAGGCTCCCAGTGGATGGAAGCACTCTTCTTTTCTGTAATTGTACACTTATTAGGTCACGAGACATCATCAAACCAAGCTGTCTTTTGTCTGAATCCCCACTGGACAGTTTGGTCTCAGTATCAATATTGGAAATGTCAGTCTGGTAAACAGCCTTTAACAGGGAAGAAGGAGGCTGAGAACAAAGTCTCCTTCAAGTGAAACTCTAAAGGATGAGAGCGAACAGAGTCAACATCTTACTTGCTTTAAATCCCCTGGAGTGGCTATGAAAGAGAGAAGACTTGCTGGATTGAGGAGAAAAAAAAAAAAACCTTTGATTCATCTGAATTAATTTTGCCTCTCCCAGGAGGGAGGATTCTTTCACGACCCTCCTGTTCTCCACCAACTGCATGCAGCTCCACAATCCCCAAAGACAAAAAACTAAACTATAGTGGGCAGAGCTCACACTTCTTCTTTCTCCACTTAAATCCATTTGTCCTGGGGTCACTGATTCTTGGAATGTCCTTGGGCTTTGGTCTTTAACCCACACACATCTGAAGGAGTGGGTAGCTGGTGCTCAGAGTGAGGACAATGCCTTCATCCTTTGACAGCACTGATGCAGTTATGAGCTCTTGGACATAGCAGACTGTGGGGTTTGGGTGAAAAATGTGAAACCCAGCTTTACACTTATAAAGCTGCATGCCAACTAGCATCACCCTCCACCTTGCCTTGAGCCCTCTGCCCTCATTTTTTGAAGGTGGATCCACCAGGATGGTAATTTGAATGTGTTTTAGGAGTCTCAGGCAGAGGCTGCTCTGGGTTATAAGGTTTGACTTTTAGCCCATAAAAGATGGCTCTCCCCGATCCAGATCCATTTATCTGTCCCCTCTATAGAAATGGCCCCTTGCCCCTCTTTTGTCTGGAACAGATCAGCACCCACCATGAGGGTTCAGGATGATACGGCAGGGTCACATGAGTTCTGCCATGCAGGGCCATCTTTATTCAAGCACGGCTTGCTCCAGGCCAACTGCAGGTGGCAGAAGAGTGTCATCCTGGGGAGACAAGTAGCAGCAAACCCTCCAGGGTTCCTGCTCCATTGGGGAGTCGCGTGGAATTAATGATTTTCCAGTTCAAACCTCTCAGCTTAAAGGCGAGGAAACTGAGGCCCAAAGAAGTCAAGGATGTTGTTCAGAGTCACAGAGGCCATTAGTGATAGAGCCCAAATAGGAACCAGGACCCCAGGTAGAAGCACTCCTCTGTTTACTGAATAATTTGCCATCCTCCTTATCAACCTGCCTCAGGACCTGACTCAACAGAGAGCCCTGGAGTCAGAGTTGGGCCTGGGTACCAGTCCCAACTCTGATACCAACTTGCTGGTGCTTCACCACTTTGATTCTGTTTCTCTCCTTATAACAGGACAGGAGTGGTAAATGATGATAAGGCCTGTCCTACCTACCTTGCAGGTTTTCTTGTTAATAAGGATAAAATAAAAGTTAAATGGGAAAGTAAAGCAAAGTCCATCATGTAAGAGAACATGCCATATACATGTAAAACCAAACTGTTATTTGCTAGTAATGTGAGTTGTTCAATTTTGTTTTTCCTGCACACACTGGGGGTAGCCAACCAGGACATACCAGTGGTCCTGAGACAAGTGTTCAGTAGCCTCATCATCCCTTGGAGAAGCTTGTAAACTGCAGAAAGTGTGTAACCTGCAGAGAGTGTGTGTGTGTGTGTGTGTGTGTGTGCGCGCGCATGTGCACGCATATCTGTGTGGGGGCACATCTGCATGTGCGTCTTGGGTGACAGGCATGGGGAAAGAGAAGGCATGATTCCTTTTGCATTTTAGCTGATAGAGGAGAAGGGTATTGGGGGAGATGGGTAGAGGCCTACCTGTCAGACACGTCGAGGAGAGGCAACACCGTCCACTGCCACAGGCTCAAGCCTTCATAGGCGGCGACATGCCAGACCATCCTGCCTTGCTCCTTCCCAGTTTTGTTCTCCACTAGCACCAAGGACACGTTTCCCCTCAGGACTCCACGAATGAGCCAGGACATTCGGAGCTGTGAGGGCGAGAAGAGTCAGAGGACAAGGTATGATTGTTGAAAGTTCTACTTTCTGGAATTCTCCACGGAAGCTTCAAGGACCTTGCCAGAGACTCGGCTGGGTTCAGCCTGGTGAGAAGAGCTGGATGCCCACCGCCTGTCTTCCCAAGAGGCTTTCAGTGAAGTTCAAGTGACCTGTTTCCTAGGATAACTGAATGAATCTGTTAATTTGTTTTCTTGGGCAGGGACAACTGATGGGCAGTTTTGGAACTTTGTTCAGGTTAATATTATCATCCTACCCTTCACAAGATTCTGCCTGTGAGGTGATATCAAGATCAGTGGGGTAGTAAATGAACTTCCTAAAGAGTAGCCAAAGATTCTTGCCTGTGGCAAGAATTCACTTGTGACCTTTGGACAGATTCACTTTGTGACCTTAGACAAATGACTTTGTGACTCAGTTTCTTTTAGTGATTTAGGTATCATAGATTTATATCTCTTCCCCAAAGACTCTAATAATCTCATTTGAATGGTGTCATGTCACGTGTCAGCTAACTAAAGACCCAATGACTTGATACCTGTGGCCACTGGCAGGCAAAGGCCAGACAAAAATCTACAAACCAAGATCTTTTAATATGGGCGTCTTTCAAAGAGGATGCCCACTTTGCCAAAAGGAAGTTATAACTGTCTGTTTTTCATTGTGTCTTTATTAAAAGTTTCTGTGGCATTGTTCCTAAACATTTGAAAGGGAGTTGTAACTAATAACCTTTCTAGGAAAGTTTAAGTACAGTCATATTCAGAGGTAGGACATGCTATAAACAAGGTTCCTCGTCTTTGTGTTTAAAAACTTAGGACAACTACATCATATCATTGCCCAAAATAATCCTGTTCAGATCTTGTAAGAAAAAATGGTGGCTACTGTAGAAAGAAAGGTAAAATATGTCTTATGGCAAACTGGCAGTTTCATCAGAGTAAAGGTACCCCCTTTTCACTGATTCTCTTTAAATACCTGCTTCTCTGTAAATTGCCACTCCTGTGTCTTCCAGTCCTGGATACATGGTTGCCTCACAATTTGATTGAAGAAGTTAAGAACGATGACTGCAGCCCCAAACTTCCCACTTTTTTGCATACAAACCCTTCACTAATAAGGTCACACCAGGGCATTAGGGCCCTCAGGGACTGATCTGCTTCTGAGACTCTGGACCTTATAAGCCTGGTCTATAACCACAGACTCTTCACTTATACCTTTCCCATTTCTCCATAACCTGGGTAGCCAATATGCATCTCCATTGAGACCTCCTAGGATAAATGAATGAATCTGTTAATTTTTTTTCTGGCCTCACTTAGCTTTCTTGTACCAGCTGGATGCCATGCTTAGAAATTTCAGCTCTACCCCTGCTAACTGTAAACCCTTTCAGCTCTCAGCCCACGCCATGCAATGCCTAGCTTGGGCTCATGCTTGACACATGCTTTCTCCTTTTGCTCCTTGGCTGCAGAATATTGGTAATTTGAACCTCCATGAATTCAGACTGTTGAATCTCAATACCCTGGATGTGAGGTGGTACTTGTTCATTCTCTGTTGATTTCCACAGTTGATTTCTGGACACACATAGTACAATGTGTGTTTCAAACTCTCCCTCACATACTGACACTGTCACCCCCTAATGCCCACCTCCTGATCCACTGATTTGATTTCTACTTTACTGAGAAAGATCTACTATGTCAGGTACAATATCCTTCAGCCCCCTTCTCTCTTTTTTGTGGGCAAAGTGTTTATTTATTTATCCCCCTTTCTTTTCTTTTTCTCTTAGAGGAAGCTGCATCCTTTACTATCTTCCATGTTAGCCCTGCGCATTTTCTCTTCCCAAGTCTTTGCTCTTTTAGTTACTGCCCTTCTTTCCCTCCTTTCCCCAGCATCTCAGAGTTGATCTTCTGGCTCCTTAGTCTACAAATAAGATCAAGGTTCACCCATTCTGGAGAAATATCCTTTATTTGATCCTCTGGGCTCCGCTGGCTTGCAACCATTTCTTTGCCCCATTCAGATGCTCCCATCTTGAACAGCTGGGATGTAACTGCTGCCTCTAGTTCCTTGTTGCTCATGCTCTCCTTAAATTCTTTCAACCTGGTCTCTGGATAATTTCCTCATTACTCTAGAAAAATAGAGTAACCATGTCCTTTATAACTCTGTGAACTCTTTGGAGTCTCCTAAAGTGCCTCTCCCACTCCACTCTTTCTCTCTTCTGAATTCTCTTGTATATTTCTGTCCCATTCTCCTGTTGATCATGCTCATCTGTGACTCGGCATGGTTTCTCATTCCCTATCAAAAATTACGGCATTTACATTCCTCTATTATCTGAGGAAATCAACTTTTTCATCATTCAACAAATATTTGTTGAGCACTTATGCTGGGTCACGTGAATTCTCCATTTCAGAATGGTCTAAGACCTCTAGAATCAGAGCGTTCTGAATTCAGACCTGTTTTTGCCACTTTGGCCTAGTTATTTAATCATTTTGAAGCTCAGTTTCCTATTCTCTAAGATGAGAATAGTTGTATCTCTTATAGGGTTATAGGGACTGTTAACTGAAATAATAATTGATGTAACAAAATATTAAAAAGGCATTTTGGCTGAAGCATGGAGGCAGTGGGTGCCACATTTCAAAGGAAGTGTAAGAGCACAAGGGTGCAGAACTTTCAAGAGAGGTGGATAAAAATGAATGACATAATTCTTAGCCCCACACTCATACTTTTCATATTACAAAATGCTGGAGGTTGACTTTAGGAGAGAGTTTTTGGAAGGTGCTTTTGGCATACCACAAGTTCCACTTCACACTCTTGCTAAGAAGAAGGTGGGAAGGGGGTTCCATCTTTATCTCAAGCCAAGAAAGAATGGTTTTATGATACCACATCAAAGACTTGATACTTATCCCCTGCAGTTTTGAAAACACAGTGGATTAGTGTCTGTCTCCTACCTGGAAGGTCTAAAGTTTGAACTAGGGGCTGTCTAGCTGCTCTGATGGCAGAACAACGCAAGGTGGCAGCACTGGGTGGCCTGCACTCCCAGAGTTTGCTGGGGCAGAAATGCATGAGTGTTGCATATGGGTGGGAGGAGAACCATGTATAGGGGAACCCATGCAGGGTCACTGTAGATCTTGCCTAAGAGAAAGGTAAATAGACAATAGTAGGAAGAAGCTGCCAGTATCTTGTGATGCCCAAGAGTGGAGGAAGGTGGAAGTGACCACCTACAATAGAGATGCACATACCCGGCAGGGCACGGTGACTCATGCCTGTAATCCCACCGCTTTGGGAGGCCGAGGCAGGTGGATCACTTGAGGTCAGGAGTTTGACACCAGCCTGGCAAACATGGTGAAACCCCATCTCTACTAAAAATACAAAAATTAGCAAGGCATGGTGGTGGGCACCTGTAGTCCCAGCTACTGAGGAGGCTGAGGCAGGAGAATCCCTTGAACCCATGAGGCAGAGGTTGCAGTGAGCCGAGATTGTGCCATTGCACTCCAACCTGGGTGACAGGGCAAGACTATGTCTCAAAAAAGAAAAGAAAAGAAAAGAAAAGAAAAGAAAAGAAAAAAAAGATGCACATGCTCTAAGTCAAGGCGAAAAATTCCAAGCCATAGTGGAGGGAATGAGGAGAAAGGTGGATCTACAAAGGAACCCCAAAAGCCCCTGTGTGAGAAACAGTAAGCCTTGGATATTTGTCACATCCAGAGAACACCAATGCAAGATTACCCAACAGTCTCCAAAAAGAACTTTCTTGATCCCCTGAACTCCTCTCACTGTCTATGCTTACAACCTCAACAGGTCAGAAGTCAATAAGATGACAGAAGAGGAGGAGAGGCTGGGTGGAGAACTAGAGAGGTCACTGACCACACCCTTTCTCTCATTTCAGGCTTTCCATCTGCAATAGGACCAAGTGTGGAGGGGGCAGGAGAGGGCAGGAAGGATGACTCTAAAGCAAGATTGAAGTTATGACTGGATGAGCATGCTGATTACTAAAAAGCCTGTGTTTTGCATTTTTAAGTGACTGAAGATCTGTCTGCATTACCTTCGAGTGATCAGAGAAGTAGCCTGTCAGTTTTCACCTAACAACCCACACAAGGAAGCTGAATGAATGCAGGTTCCAGACTTCCCTACACCAGTCTACTTGCCAAATTTGCACCTGCCTGACATTTCCATGCTTCTATACTTTTTATTCTTCCATTTACTCTACCTGCTTTTTCCTTCTGTCCCCTTAAAAAATGAAATCTCTTTCCTTTTCAGGAAGCCTTTTTCTTATCATCCATCTCAGAAACGACCTCTTCCTCCTCTTAAATCTTCTAACTAAGGTTATTGGGACCTGCTGCCTTGTCTTCTCTCTCTACCCTTGGTCATGAATTCCTTCAAGGCAAGGACTGTCTTATTCATCTTATGTTCACGGTGGCTGTCAATCGAGGGCAGGTGGTAGGAACCAATCAATGTCAGCATGAATAAAATTGCATATCTATATAGGGCGACACTCTCGTCTTTGCCAGGCTTTCCTCTTAGGGGTAGTCAATCAACTTTCCATCCTAGGAAGCTCCTTGGCACTTTCTTACATTCTATGGGTCAGGGACCAGGGAAGGGGAGAGGTTCCTCACTTCCCAGCCACTTGGCTATATTCTAAAGTGCCTCCTCCTCAGCCGCTCCCTGGAACTTTTCAGTTTAAAGTAGAGTCTGCTGTTGGTATGAGCATGTCGGCAAGATGCAGCCCTGTCTTGTCTATGCTGGGACCAGGGGAGAGCCAGCAGCTGAGCTCTCTCCATCTTCCTGTTCTGTGTTTTAGGCCAATCAGGCTGGGCAAAAGAGAGAGAACTGGACTGGCCACCCAGGGATGGTGTGAAGGCTATGGCATCCTTAGCCTTCTGAGGAAATCTACCAGGATGCTTCCTGGGATTAGTCCTTAAGGGAGATCATCATCTACTTACTCACAGATAGTTACTGCTTCCTACTCTGTGCTGCATACTCTGCTTTTGAAGATGAGCTCCTA